CAAAACGAGTCAGAGTTTATTGTGACTATTAGGTAGATTTACAGGGAAATGTATTTTAAGGGAAGAGTGGCAAGCAGTGAGTTTCTGGTACCTTTGAACTGTGTAATCCAAGATCTGGAGAAGCCCGTTTGGCTGTTACTGGATTCATGGCTTCAAGAATCTTCCAGGAGATTGAGTCTGCTGGAGCATCATTCTAGAGATGCTGTTCTAGGAAATGCTTCTTTCAATATATAATGATAGATAGAAAGATAAAATGTCTCTTAAACACACGGCTTGGTGGGGAGACCGGGAAAAAGAGCTCCAGGTTGCAACATTTAGTATTCAAATGCAGTTTTGCAATTGTCAAGAGTTCCACTGCTCTTCCATTTCTCTAGAGTTTGCTTAACTTCTTGCTTTAAAAGTAAATTAGTGACTACATTTTCTTAGGAACTCCATGTACTAATATGAGCCGCGATCATCACGAGCGTGATAGTTATGATAGCTTTGTCTTAATTAGAGTGATCTCATCATGGACATCGTTTAGACGGGGTTACTAATTCCCAACACATGCTGACTATAAAGAAATTGGGAGCTTGTTATAAGCTGATGTCATGGGAAGAGCCCAGTCTCTTCAGCAGGGACTCATCAGTGCAAAGGTCTCTAAATAATATCTGACTTTGAATTAAAGAGAAGAATCAGGGTGGGAAAAGCTTTTGTAAGTTCTTAAGTCTCTGTAGGCTTTGGCCATTACTATCAATTGAATCAGTTATTAAGGACTGCAAAATAAAAGAGACTCCATTGTAAAAAGCACAAAGTTCTTTGAATTCATTAAAAAAATCTGCATTTTTTTCCTCTCACTTGTGAAGATAATCCATAATTTATAAACTAAGCCTTTCAAACAAAATAGCAGCAGGGTTTTTGTTTCCAGAAATTTAGCACATTTGCTGAAGCTCTAAATAACTTTTTCTTTTCTTTTTTTTCTTTTTTTTTTTCTTAAATTTAGACTTGGTTATAGTAATTTACATAGTGTGAAGTGTGGGAGAAGAGCTACTGGGTGAGATTTGGTTGCATGATTTTACAACTGGTTTGCATGAATACAAATGGCAAAGTTCAGCTCAGTGGATAATCAGTTCCGATTGTAAACATCCTCTAATGTTTTTTAATGCTGTCATTGGACCATTTTTGAAAGGATATCAATGTCTGGCTAGATGTAAAACCAAGGATTTTGTGAGACTTAGTTTATAGGAATTTATAATATGGCATTCAAAGCAAGGAAACGTTTTCTAATAACACAGAATTGAAAGCATGGTCTCAGATACCAAAACACAGCTTTTGGGAACATATCATCACTTGGAGCTGTAAAGGTGTCTTTAAGAATAATTTTCTGTTAACTAAATAACTGTATTTACAATCCAATCTTCCTTTTTTCTAGGAAGAACTTTGTGAAGATTGATTAGTTGGTGACTGTCATCTGTTAGTTTACGAGGTAGTTATACAGCCCTAACTATAAATACTTCTGCAAAATATCGTTTAATTTCGCTAATGAAAAAACTGACCCAAGAACTCGCTTTTCTTGTTTGATGCTTCTACAGCATTTCCCATTCCACCCTGAATGCTCTACGAAAAGGATATATATGAGCTATTTCAGTCTCTGTTGAACTGCAGCCACCTCAAACTGCATATTCAGCAGCATACAACCTGGCCACGCTGCACAACAATTTAGTACAGGAAATGAAAATAAATACCACATTAATTTCAAGCCAAATGGTTTTAAAAAGTTTGAATCTGCCTGTTTGTGGAACAAAAATGCCTCAGTACATAAACCTTCGGCGTCGTGTGGCTCCTATTTACACCTCTAAAGTCAGGGCTCAAATTCCCATCCTCCCTGTTGGGGAGAACTGAGCTGGAGGAGAACAGGCTGGAGTAACTGGCTAAGGAATGTGAAGTGGCGGGGAATCTGTTTGTGAAAAATATAAAATATACCTTTGGTACACACTAAATACACTGAAATGTGTCTGATGCCAGCACAGAATGTCTGAGTTCTTCAGGACTAAAAGGATTGGGAGTTTTGCTGTTTACCTCAGTGGGAATAAAATGCAGTTTTAATTTATCGTGGCTTTAACACACCTAGTTTTGCGGTGTTGTGAGCCTGACACAAGCAAATAAGCAAGAGAGAAGCAGAAGTAAATCCACAGGAGATAGAATCAATCTTGATGGCAGGATGAGCTACCTGGGGGTGCTGTTAGAGCAGCAGTTTGTCTCTTGAGCTGAGGTCATTCAAGGACAGATCGGGAGTTTTTACTTGGAGTGGTAGTGAAATCAGGCGCACTGCCTTTTCTGCACACGCTGAACTGTCAGCCCGTGTGTCTGCATTAAAAACTGTTTTGCCCGGTTAAAATCAATTATTTGTTTTTGCTTTGGATGCTTTGCATTCTTGCTCACAGTTGGGTTGGTGTTATGTGAGAAGGGCAGGGTTGTGGGTTCGTACTCATATACTCATGCAGTTGCAGACATACTTCACCCAAGAAGTAAAACACTCCAAAACCTCAGATCAGAAGATGAGGACATTTTTCAAACCCGAAACAAAAGCAATAAATGGAAATAAGGATTAACTTTGTCAATTTTCACCCCTCCCACAATAAATCTCCAAAATCTTGGCTTTTATCTTAGATGGATAACACAATAGGCACCAGAGCACACCAATATTACGCAAATCCTTCATGTGCTATCAATTATTTTCTAAGTATTCATCATCTGAATTGTGAAATGGCTTGACTTTTTTTTAATGGAGAGTGTATGAAGATGAGAGTGTTAGGCTGACACATTCTTTCTCTTGTACTTGTGTAGGCATATTTAAAAGTAATTTCAGAAGAAAACAGCAGTGAACAGGGCTCTCCCCTCGGTACCCAGCCCCTCCTGGCTTGTGGAGTCGAAGATGAACTGTGTTAAGTGACGGGGGAATAGGCGTGTAGTGAGGAATCAGATGTAGCGTGCTGCTAAAAAGCATTTGGGTGTTAGGAAATCAAGGGAATACATTCAGCGGGGATGCGGCTGCACAACCCTGATTGCGAGGGACCCTCTGTCTGCAAGGCCTGGCAAGGCAAAGCCCGGCCGGGCACGGGGAGCAGGGAGGGCAGGGCAGAGCAGGGACGCGTGCCCGGGGCGCATCCTCGCGCAAAGGATTCTTGTAACAGATGCCTTGCTAAAATAAAAAGGTGACTGAGATGAATAGGCAGGCTGTGATGAAATTACAGAAATTGATTTCATGGAGGGACCTCTTGAATTTCAGATTTGGTGTACTGACGGATTCCAAGGGCTTTTACTGTGCAACCAGTTTGAACAATCGATTTTCCCAAGGCTGATACGCTCTGTTTTAGTACACTGCTAGTAAGCATGTGTAAGTTAATGTTTTACACTTTTTTCTTATATTTCTTAAGACCATCTCTTTTTAATCATTCACACAGACTGATTCCATCAATATTTCCCCACTAATTCTGAGCTTCAGAATATGTATTGCCCAGAAAACAATATGTCCTGTACTGTTCTCTCAGTTGTCAATGCTTCATTTCTTCGTTTGATTTCCATATATGGATGTCAATGCTTTGACTTTCAAAATTAATCATGCTGGGTAGGTGGAAGCTTAATTAAATTGGGTATTTCCTAAAGGTCAAACATATCTCTAAGCAGAAAATCTATATATTGCAGGTCCTATGCTGTCTCCCCACCATACTATTGTTGCCCAGCTAACAAATCCTGAAGCAACAGGGCTGCAAACATGACCAAACAGCATCATACACAAAACATCCTGTTTTATTATCAACTTCAGAGTTTATTAATTTATCAAACGAGGTCAAAGTGATACAACAAGTACATAAATAAGTACCGTAACAGACATACCTCCCACGAAGAGAATGAAAAACATGACGCTGTGTATTTTGTTCTCTTAAGTGACCAGAAACTGGAAAAATGCAACACTGCATTTTTACTAGATGATGCTTATGTGTTTGGGGTTTTGTTTTGCTTTTCTTAAAAAAGAAATAAATACACAATCTGGATTCCACCTGTCCTGTCACAAATACAAAAAGCAGGTTGCCTTCTTCTTCTTCTTCTTAAAAAAAAATAAAAATACAAACACTGTACACTTTCCTCTTCATCGTTTTCCATCAGCTACTGCTACAGACGGTGCCCATGAGGTGAGGAATCAACTGCTGCTCTTCCCACCAGATTGCTACAGTTCCTCAGAACTTCTTCCTTCCAATGCTTTCACCACAGGAATGATAAAGTTAATTCATGACTGATTAGATGATCGGAACGGTGAAGCTCTGCCTGAAATGGGCTTCTGGCATTCAACGCTGAGCTCTCCCACACCTTCACCCCTTAGGAACGGGTACACCCCATCGCAGGCAGGATGACAAACCTCCCAATCCTTGCTGTCACTGTTGATTTCACTCCCTGCGAAGACTCAGCCCCTGGCTCAGACCGTTTCCATGCAACTTCGTTTCCTAGCACGTGTTTGAACAGTAGTATCCCTGTCTGCTCGTGAAGCAGAAAACGGGAGCAAAAGCAGGCAAAACCACTTTGCTTCTTGGGATTTAATCCAACGTGGCAGCCACAAGGCAGTGCAGTATTTTGGGGAGTCTTCAGAGAAAACAGTTTTGACATTCTACTTTTTCTGCAGGTGAGAGCCACCTTTCTTAAATGTGCTGTAGATGTGCTATACTTAACAGAATCGCTCAAGATTTGTTTTTTTCACCAAGATAACAGTTTTCCCACAACTGCCGTAGCTGTTTGGTGTTTGTCACGGGAGAGAGTTGTCCTCGGAATGTGCGAATTGAGAAAAATGCAGATGTAACGATTCAGAACAAATAAATTAAGCACTGTCGCAATGTTTAGGGAGTTATTAATCAGGAGGTTTAACCCTCTAGGTGTTTTGAAAAGTACTGCAAGTACTTCGCCACCTTCTGCCACGACACTTTAGAAGGCAGTTTATCAGCCAAGACCATGTGTTAATAGGGCCCAGAAGGATGAAGTTATTAGGGCTATGATAGGGAGCTTACACTTCACATTTTTTAGAGAAGTGGGTGGAGGAAACAGTGAAAACCACTTAAAAGCAAACATTTGCTCAAATTGCTACAAAAATAGAGTGATTGCCACTAACACCTGCTGTTCCGTTTATGGACTTGGTTTGCTCAACTACAAGACATCATCCCAAAGGCAGGCTGCTTAGGAGTTTGTTAGTTTAAATCTGGTTTTGATGTTTCTAACACAAGTACTGTATCACTTGTATTTTTCTCCACTATTAAAGAAAAAAAAAATAATCCATGAGTCTTTTCAACTCCAGAAATCTTATAAATGCAGCACAGGAAATAATGCTCTCCATAGCTCTTGCATATTTATTAGGTGTCCTTCCTTTCATTAGTTTGAATAACTTGCCAAATAACAATAAAAAAAAATGTTCTGTTTTGTCTTTTTAGCTTGTCGAGAAATGCAACTCTGGGAAAGTACAGTCTGTCTTTCTCCTTCCCCCACTAGTAACACAGAGCCTCCTAGTCTTTTGGAGAAGATATTTGAACAGTTGACACAGACCACTACACAGAAAGCAGCAAATTTGCTGTGCATGATGTGAATAATTACTGCATTATAGTTTTGGGGTTTAGGGCAACTGTTGACTTAAGCAAAATAAGCCTGCAGTCCAGCTGCAGATCCAAGTTTTCATAAGTTTTCTTGTGTTTCTCCCTCCAGTGCTGTCCCTCTTAACAGTGACCCTTTTCAGACTTTTCGAGGTACAAAACCTTCACCAAATCCTCGAGCTCGGTCCTGCACACTCTGCTTTCACACATTTGGCTGATCTGAGCTTCTCCCTCACTAAATATTTTCCACTGGCCTGAAAACAAAAATACAAAGGAGACAGACACTGACTTAGAAAAGGGCATCGGGAACTTCGAAGACATTTACAAGCACACTCCAGACCAACTCATTCACAATGGTCAAAGAGAGAATGTCCAATCCTCCCATGGAAAATATTCGAAGTATCTTACAATCACGTAACATATTCCATGCAAAATAACTTTGTTAGAAATAATAAACAAGGATGAGAATATTATTCCTCTCTTTAATCAACTAGTGCTGTAAGCTGGCCCTATTTGTTCAACCATTTATCACAGTGGATACTCTGCTTTATGACAGTGACGTAAAAATGTAACTCTAGTGGTAAACCAAAGTATTTAAAAGTTCGGAAGCAACAAGTCTAAGTGTTTTATGTACTGTGAACTCTGCCCACCTGTGAGTAATACAAACTGTGTTTGCTGGATATTCGTATTTCTATACATTTTTTAATAATGTTAATAGAAACGCTCACTGTCCTGGTAGCTAGAATGCTGTTTTACAGATAACAATGACAAACTTACAGAAGACTGACACCTAAAAAGTAGGAAACTTTTTAAATGAAAAGGTGACAGCTTCTCACTAAGCCTGTATTATCAACAACATATTATTCCTGGGAAAAATACTTTCTTGCCTAATGAGAGACCTCAGAAAAAAATGAAAACTTGTAACGCAAAGAAGTGGGAATTAAAAATATCTACACGTTAATTCAGCTAACAAATTAAGTGTCATATACCAAGCTGGAATTTTCTTCAAAAAGAAATTGAGCCCGGTGTGAGGAAAGACTTACATCTCCTTTTAAAAGACAGATTTCAATATTCAGGGTATTGTTAAGAACATGGAAAAGGGCTCTTTCAAATATAACATATATGTATATAGGAAAACTCCTTTAGTCATCTCTGTGTTTTTTCTTTCCCTTCTAAAAAGGGACTTTTAAAAAAATTGGTGTAACTTGACATTTTACTTAAATAAATCCAAGCTGTGCTGCGGTGCTTACACCAGTTTGATTTCAGACTTATGGCAGTATGTATTTTATCAAAATGCAGGAGACTAAGACAGCATGGACGTGAACTACTGATACATGTACCCATATTTTAAATTGCTGTTTAAATGTTCAAATTGCTGAGAATGTTTTTCAAGGCTATGATTATATGGAGAATAGAAACCTGAAGAAGTCAGAATTTTACTTACTAGGGGTTGTCCTTGTTATCTGCTTGAAGTAAGGAAGTTCTTCAAATTCTCTCTTGGACACTTTTTCAACATAGAAGTGACGCAGAATCCCTTTGGCAAAGAAATGAGAAGTGCAGGTTACTGGAAATGTGCCTGCTGTTCTAACTCTGAGTTGCTACCCTGCCTTTGTGTAGAATTACTGCCACGTTGAGTCACCTTGCGACATAATCCTTACCAGTTACATGGATTTTCAGCCTGTTCTTTTTTATTCTGTTTGCCATCCCCCTTTTTTGCTACTCGCCTATAAATCCTTCATGGATTTACGACTGTGGAGAGTTTGTGAGGGGTGTGAGAATTTTCCAATCCTCTTCCAATGTAGCTGTTCCTTAGTATGAGTAAATGTAAGATTACAAGAGAAACCAAAATCCCAGCATCTTGGAGAAAAACACTATCTTTTTGCAGCCAGATGCCATTTTGTCATGGCTAGCAGGCAGCATCACTGTCAAACCATCACAAGGCTTTGTGGCTCCTTGAAGGCATACGGTGGTTATCAACTGTTCGATCCTCCGCGACTTCTTTTCTGCTCACGCTTTGGGCTCGGCTTTGTGCTTGAGAGTGCGTTCTAGAGATGTAGCGTTTCCATTTAAAGGGCTGCACTGCGTGAGGGTTTCCTATGAGGATCACACGCTTTTTGCTTGAAGTAGATTAAGTAGACAGGATTTTTAGGAGGCTGGAGATAATTTTTATTATACTAAAAGCTCAGGATTTGCAGAAGTGCTTGGGTTTCTGAGTGCTTTTTAATTTTTTTTCTAACTTTACCAGTTAGCATAGTTAAAGATACTGTTTCCATTCTTAACACATTCTTTGCCTACATTAGACCACAGTATCTAGAATGTAGCCTGACATTGCGAAGGCAGACAGGGCAGACCGATTTCAGTGGAAAGCTTAGGTCCAACCTAAATACGAACCTCCAGGCACTCGCTTCAAACCTTACTACCCATTTCTCTGCAAGAAATTACACAGGGTATTACTGACAACCTGTTTGCTGCTGTGCTTTTGCTCACAACAAACGGCAGGAGTTTGCAGAACTAGAGCTTTGAGTATTTTTAATGAGTTTTACACAGCAAAACTTGAGTGGCTGTAGTAGCGATATCCTAAATACCCAGAATGGGAGTATCAAGATGCTTGGATTTGTAAAGTGTCCTGGGATTTTAATGGAAGATAATATACTGTGTAAAGAAAGGACTTCTCAACTCACCTTTTCTAATTGTCCACACGTGTATTTCGATTTGAGGTGGCTTTTCAGTCTCTACTGCAATTTTTCTGATGGTTTCTCCTTCCTCTGTGAAAATGGATTCATAGACGGGAAATGTCTCTTTCCCACAGAAGTAATCTTTGTTGTCAAAGGTTTGACTTGGCACTTCTTCTGTTTAAAAAAAGCCCAAAACACATACTACAGCTGCAATCAAGTTCTCCAGAAATTACCTGACACCGATAGCTAAGCAGGTTTAGTTTAAAAGCAGAATCTTCACTTGCATGGCCCCACAAATCCATCTCCAGCTAAGCCCCAGACATTTAAGAGTGCTCTATCCCGCCACGTTCTTATGGCCTGTCCATGGTGGCAAGAGAGTTTTCCTATTTATAATCTAGTTTCATAAGGAAATGAGCTGTATAAAACCACGCGGTCTGTGAGACTCCTCATGATTTTTGAACCTGTTGTCTGCTCCTCAACCATATTTGGTTGTAATGGTAGAAGTCTCAGAGGTAATAAAATAACTAAATGAAAACTGGTGGTTGGACAGAGTGAAGAGACCCACATTAAGGCTTTGCTGAGGAAAAGGGCAGGTAGAACCTGTGAGGTTTGCGTTTTGCTCAGCAGCAGCCAGCTGGCCAGTGCAAGCCTGGGCTGGCCACAGTGCATGTTATCTCTTGCCCACCTGGTCAAGTCATAGAGCGTGTAAGTAGAAATTGTAATTAATCTGTTGGCAATTGGAAGTTGGACAAGAATGTAGGAGAGATGATGCAACTGAGAAACTCAGACTGCTGTTTGTGGAAAAACCTAACAATTAATACGTCTCCACACAGACAAGACAGACCGCAGGAAGAGGTTCAGCTTTCTTAAAAACCGGCACACAGACTTTCCAAGAAAATTACAGTAACTTTCTTTTTTGCTATGAAATCTTCTACTGAAGCCTGTTAGCCAGGTTTTGCTGACCTCATCTCAAATGAGCCCAATAAAAGCTGTGGATCTCTGATTCACAAGCATCCAAAAGGATCTAGATAATGCAGCCCCTGCCTGCCTTCTGCCCCTGCACCGTGCTTTTTCCCCAGTAAGCAACGCTAGCAAGAGAAAATGGGAAGTGTGCACTCTATGGAAGAGTTCTGAACACCTCATTTCCTCAGAGCATTTCCACCCAAATGCAGAAATGGGCCATACAGATTAGAAAAGAAGCTTAAAGGCACAGAAGGGAAGGGACACTCCTTTACCCTTTCTATCCTGCGTCTGTTCATTTGGCAGACCATTGGCAGATTCATATTAGCAGATTTTTCACTAGTTGCAGGCATTGATTTCAGTAACGTCTACATAAGTTTAATCATTAGTGCCGCATAGAAACAATGCTAAATTTGTGATTACTATTTATTTTAAGGATTAAGTTACATAACTGACACCAATCAATTCATAATCAGGGCATTTGAATCCTTCCGGTGCATTTTAAAAAGCAGAAATGCTATTATCTCCACACAAAATTCTCGAGCTTGGAAATGATTTGAAGGTTCAATGGATGGAGGGTCTTTTGACAGTAATGAACCTTCTGGGTACGTTTCTGTAATGTTCTCTTTGGAAATGAGTGTCAGGATGCCAGACTACCAGCTATTGCTATTGGAATCAGATCAGCCCCTTAACATGCACAGCGAAAAGGTGGTCTGTGATCAACTTTGTTTTACCTGGACAGACTTTACAGCATTTTCCTTCTACTTTCTGAGGGTATTTGCAGGGATATTGTTCTGGACAATGAATTTTCTTACATTCTTGTTTGGTGATGTTGCAGGTGCACAACACACACTCTACGATTCCAAAGGCCCGCAGATTAGGATGCCAAGATTCACCGTGGGAGTATGTCTTGCCATTTGAAACACAAACTATGAAAGAAGAGAAAAGGAAGAAAAAGTACAACTGGAAAAGGTATGTTCACCAGCTACCTCTCTACAAATATTTGTTTGATTCATGCCCATTCACTTAAAGCAGTGCCTCTATACATTATTTTTTAGTGTCTCTGGCCCATTTCTCTGCTTGTTAAATTTAACTCAGAGTTTTGCTACTTGAGCGTGAGCCTGTAATCATCCTTTTCTGAGTCGTTTTGCCTCGATTGCTGACACTGGTGTCCCTCACTAGTTGGAGAACAGTGAAGATGACTGAGTCGAGTACTTGAGTAGCTCTTCCCCAGCGCACGTGTTTCAGTCAGGCACCATTAACCTCACAAAACTCCCTCCTCCGTCCCCTCCTCAGTCCGCACAACCCGCTCCACTGGCTCTGGCTGCTAGAATTGAACCTGCAGATGCCAGGATCATGACGTTTGCTACTGGGTCACTTGCACAACTTCTCTTACCGTCAGCTCCACGTGGCTTTTGCAGGGAGAGCCCCGCTCTCGGCAGGATGGAGTAGTGCCACCCAGGCCTTTTATTGCTTTTGCATGAGAGTTCCCGCTACACAACACGCAGAACAAAGCACGGGAATGCTGCAAAATGATGTTTAATGTCCTCTGTGTAAATATATATGTCTATACGTATATAGAAACATTTGGCTTTTGGAATGACAAGAAAATATTAACATGGAAGGGTGCACACGGGACTGGAATTTTCATTCCAATGGCATCTAAGCATCTCAGAAGATTTATTCATCAGTGCCCTTGGGAGACAAAGAAATCCAGCTGACAGAAGGAGAGTGGAAAAAGCCATGCCTGGTGGAAGCTAGTTTGGGTCACCCTGTAGTTACTGGGAATTATATCACTTTACACCATGTTTGCATTTGTCCTATAAACCTTACTTCTTTCTTTTTAAATATTTTATAAACACAAAGAAAAATGCAAACTAATCCTAGCAAGGTGAAAGAAAGGGCACTGCCTAATTTCTAAAAGGAACTGAAGTAAAACTAAGATATGTTGTAAATATTTCCAATTCTTCTAATATGCCATCATTTTTATTAATGCTTTTATTTGTAAAATATGTTCCTATTTTGCCTGTAACTTTCAAAAGCAATTTATTTTTTATCTGTAATCTGAAATTTACATCTAACTGGTAACAGATGTGACCAACTGGCTTATACTTTACTGAGTTACTGAGATTTATGGGAGTGTCTTTTGCAATGTATTGTCTTTCATGGGGTTATGCTATCATTTGGTTTATAATTCGCTACTTTTTAACTCTTTCTTAAGTCATGTTTTTATTTTAGAGATAGGGAGCAAGTCTTGTTTCTCAAATAAAAGCAAACAGTGTTATCTGTATAGTAAGAACATGGGAGAAAAAATATCAATGAGAAAACTGGTAAGTACTCAGTTGCTCACAGGCTTCTTACATGCTTAAATGCTTATATAGACTTTAATTTCCCAGCCAGAGTTCTCTAGATCCTTTATGGGCATAAATATTCCAAGATTTTTCCCTGACAGGGGAAGGGATAATACATGACACTGTGTACATATATATTCTCTCTTTTTTAAGGGTTTGTTTAGCACAGAGTAGTTAAAATAATTACTCTGAGGTAGCAGATGAAGCCTCCAGTAGAAGCCAAAATACAGGAAATAACTTCGAGTTCCCTGATGCCCTGCTTTTAGTGCTCTTCATGTTTAGAATGATAAATCTCTGCAACTGCACAGTATCTGCATGTCAGGAGAGTTGCTGTGTGTCTATTTTTTTTACTTGTTGAAAAGCATCTCAAGAGGCATGTGCATTAATTAATAAAACCCATGTTAATTGCACAAGAACAAAAGAAAATACAGGGTCAGCATTCCTGTTTTCCATGACGGGCATCTCTCAGACACTCTCCAGGCAGTGAGTGTCTGAAGTTGCGGCAGTTACTATCTACTGCATGCAGAAATATGCTATTCGTCTGTATGCTCTTTATTTGCTGAAACAAATCAGTTAGAAATTGCTTTGATGATGTCTTGATGTGTGAATTACATGTCAAAGATATTGCACGGCACGGAGATTCCTGCTCTTAGATTCAGCATAAAACACTGGCATGATCTGAATGTTTTTTCATGCTTGTTCAGGTGGATAATAAAGATCCTATGGCCAACATTCCTTCTGTTAGTTAATACCTTAAAAGATTAGTTGGCCCTAATGCAAGGGCTTTTAACTCTTTGTGGGAAGTTTCTAAGTGCGTGCTGACTGGTATTTGTGGATAGATGCTTTCCTGAACATGCATTTTTACAGCTATTTCTTCTATGGCTTCTTAGGCCTGTTCCTGCAGCCCTCTGTTCTCTGAGGTACCCCCACTGTGGGACAGGAGCATCCCACCCTTTTTATTGTATGAAACCTGCTGTCCTACGAACCGCAGAATTGATATTTTCCATCTATTTTTGTCCTTCCTGTGATGCAGCAGGAACTGGACTTAGTCGTGTTTGGATAAGATTTGCCATATGGGTTCAAACTTCTGCTGTCCCCATAATGTAATATGTCCTATATTATATTATCAGAAGACACTACAGTGTTCTTAGAGTGAGATTCATTACTTTGGTTAACTTTGCCTCTTTACACCTCAGGCATCCAGTACAGGCTAATTCCCTACTCTGCCTCTAGTATTGGTTGTGGAGGAGGAGGAAAAGCTCCCTGAGCATCCCACCGTCTCAGACAACTAGTTGAAGATGGGGGAAATCATGATACTGTCTTTCTTGAGAAAAATTTGCTAAGCCTTGGAGGCTCTTGATACCACGGCAAAGCTTTACGGTCTGAGGTTTGTGGGGCAGTGCGAACACGCACTGTTTACAGCTGCTAAAGTTATGAAATAGGAGACTGCAAACAATTTCCTGCTGGACAAGTCACCGTGCAAAGGCAACCTGGTGCCCTTTACGGCACAAAACACATCCCTGGTAACCACTGGATGTGTTCTTAGAATTAAACCCCACAAAGCAATTACACACCACGGTAGTGTGGTGCCTCTGCAGAGTGAAATGCACTGTTGTCCGTGTGGGCACCACGCATCTCAGTCAAGAGCTAATTTCGTATCCGCAATAGCTTATTGGGTTTTGCCTCTCTGATTCGCATTGAGTCTCTTGATACCTGTGTGAATTTCCAAGATTCTGCTGTGTATTTTGACAAGTCTTTCTGAGTCATAGGGACTGATTCCTGACCCAGAGTTATACTAAAAGAAGTACTTGTCTTTACCTCGTCCATGCTTATGCTTGTTGTTGATGACGATTTGTACTATTGTCCCTGAAGCTTGCTGGGGATCCGGGAGGACTCCACGGTTACTCCTGGCACTGGGAAATCGTGGTATGTTGACGACCTGCCTCGCAGAGCTGGGTGACAACTCGTAGTGGGAGCGATGGTATGAGTGTCTCTGGAGACGGAAGAGAGCAGGAAAGTTAATGTCTCATTCCAATGAGCACGGGCAAAGAGGCTGTACTAGAAGCTTAACACAGGCAAGAGTATTGCCACTATCATCAAGTGTCATTAAAAGTACCGTACTAAATGAAGGCCATTCACGTTTTGCAGATAGTTAACAGGACTGGGTTTTTAGCTAAACCCAGGTCACACGGTAATGAAGTCCTCTAGGCATTCGCATCTGTAACTCATCTCACCAGGCTGTGTGCGTCAGTGTGAGTGTCTTTATCTAAATTGCTCACCTGAAGTCCCTAATCAAGTCAATGGACAGAGAAGCACTTTTAGAACCTGACCTGTTGTGGATCTTTATATCATGAGGAGATGAATCACAACCTAGAAATGCCTATTTCGTTCCATATATTAAAAATGTTGTTCAGAGCTAGATGTCTACTTTACTGATGTCTACGCTACTTTAAGATTAGATGAGAAGAATTGTAAGCCTGCCTAGTTTTCCTCACTCCAGGGGCAAAGGACATTCAAAATGACTGTCAGGCTTCTAGTTTCAGCTTTAAACTCTCATGCAAGCCTTGCACAGAGTGAGCAGAACCTTACTAGAATCTGTCTCACAGACTGGGAAGTTTCATTTTATTTGCCAAGGAAAGTAGTAGTAGTGTGCAGCATGTTTTCTAGAGCTAAACCACTGATTGTTTTCAGAGAATTATTCTCCAAACTACCCATAGAAATCAAGGAAGTACATATTACAGGAGTTATTTTATAAGGTATAATTCTTCTCACTAACCCAACGATCTGTTGGTCCAGGTACTTATGTAGTGCACCTAATGCTTAAAAGCTCTTCATAGTCTCTCCGAACACTGTTATAAAAATCATTTCTTGAGGAATAAGTTGTTAATGGATACTCTTGGCCCCAGCGGCAGTGAAGCCCCAAAAGGAAATATGTACATATGTATACGTCAACTGGGAAGTGTTTGCAATTATGATTTAAAAGTGATGCTCCCACAGCAAACAAAACATTGTAGAATTTTAGTCTTACGGAGCATATACAACACAGACTAAATCCAGAGTGCGCAGGAGCTCAAGAGAGTTTATAATTCAGCATTAAATATAAATTCAGGTTTATTAAGGAGTTCATAGAAGTGGAAGAAATCTATTTTGGGCCAGATTCACAGAACCCCAGGATGAAGCAGTAAATATTCAGACTTGTTATCATCCTTTTCTCTTTCCTCCCAACGTAGTGACATGCACAGCACAGCAGGAAAATATGTCTTGAAATTGTAGGTCACACTTACGGCTTCCCTGTTGGCTGGCTGCCGGAAGATATCTCCGTCGGAATGTTCCCATGACAATTCTCCATCTCCTGTACGTGAAGCAGAGCAGTATCAGTTAGAGGAGTGATTGTGCAACACCTTGGGAGATACTTAGGGGAGAAATCTCACCCGGCTTTACACTTAAACTTAGGGGGAAGGTTGCATCAGTGTACAGAAGTACCAGTCTGTAGTCTCATTTTATTGTACTGGATTCTGCAGAGACCAATAGGCAGATTTCTTCCTAAATGTTACGCGATCTCAGGATGGAGATTTTTATCAGATTTATGTGGCTTAACTAGATGCTATGGGCAAGGTTATTTCCAGCAACCATCTGCTATGTGATCTCTGGCGAAGGTGAGGAGACATGACGTAGCTCAGCTCAGGGAGGAAGGCTAAACTGTGTGACCTTCCATCTACTGTGGGCTGAGGGAACCCATGAGCACAATTACTGTTGCTCAACTGACATCAGACTTGAGAATTGAACTCTGAATTAAATTTTTGCAGTCGGCTCTAAAGTATAACCATTAATAAGTAACATTGTAATATACAAATGAGGAAAAAGTAAGTAATTTATTGTGCTGCAAATTTCCTGTCCTACTATCTATTTGCTTGGGATTTTCCTATTTATGCCTCATTTCAAAAAAAACGAGTAAATTCAGAGCCTCTCCTTCTGTGATTGTACTTGAACTTACCTCTGCAAACCGGACAGCAGGACTCCGGAACAGAAACTGGGAAAGAGCAAGTTAATTTGGGACAAGTCTTCAACCCACAGTACACATTTCCTTCCTGCCAGTAAAATACAAGGAGAATTTAGAAGGAATCATCAAGTCTTCTGGAATTGCATGTGCATACTCCGATCTAGTATGTGTGTTTAGAGAAAAGCCACTCTAGCGTGCAAAGGCAAAATACGAGACCAATTAAAAGTCTGAATAGCTTTTCTAAGATCTGTTGTCATCCAGAGGAAGCTCCCTTTATTAAAAAAAAATTGAGGAAAAGGGAAGAGGTAAAAGTGTGTGTTGAGAAGAACTGCAATTATTGCAGGCTGCAAATGTACCTGACGTCAGTACTAAAATCACCCGGTGTAAATTGTCCTCCTTGCTCTCCCTCTGCTGTGTCTTAACATTGAACTGGAGGAATAGGTTACCAGTGACTAAAAGTCATAAAGTCTGCTCAGTACTTGAACTGTTAAATTTGTAGTTGATGGGAAATACGATGATGATTTCATCAGAGAAGGTCCAGAGCTGCCTGGATTTGAGAGGGATGTTTCATTTCAGACCTTGTCTCGGAAGAGTCACTCAGTGACTGCTCAAATATACTGAATTTGAACTGGTGACACCTCAGGGATGGCTCTGTGGCCCACTGCCAGTTTACTGAGCTGTCCACTCCCAGTCTGTGAGGCTCTTTACTTATCAAATCAGTCCCAATTAATTTAGATCCAGGCAGTGGCTTAATGCTGTATTTTCCAGTCAGGTTGAAGTGAAATATTCTATATATGCCAAGTAGCAATATTTTACCTGCTGCCTCTGCACTGAAGCTTGCTTAGGACAGATGCTTGGCAGGGTAAGCTTTGTCCACTGTGTTTGAGTAAGAGGCAGCTTGGCATTTACCAGGTGCTGCAGACTGGCTCTGAGCACTCCCATGAGTTTCAGCACTCATTAATTCTCAACTCCCAGCCTTTGCTATATATTGCTTCTATTTTAATGTCATGTCTTCTAGAAAGGAGAAATGAAGCATAGACAGAGCAGGGCTCCGTCAAATCGTGTTACTTACTGAGCAGCTGCACTGGGCACACTGGTTTGCTTGCCTGTTTTGGAAAAGCCCCTCTGCCACAAACATTTCGCCGTGATGGTAGGTGGTGCCATTATATTCACAGGATTTCCCGGTGATTTTGCTGCTCACTGAGAAAAGGGAGTCTTCTGGAAGCAAAGGGAAAGGAACACTTCACGCAACCGTTCTTGACGACTCGCAGTATCACAAAGACAGGGGAGGAAAAGCTTCCCTTCTCCCTCATTTTGCTTTTTTATAAGAGGACAGGTTTTGTCATGCTACAAAGTATAAGTGATATTCTCATGCTGCTAACTTTGGCTGAACTTTAATAATTCACCCTTAGAGTTGACTGTCCCAGATGATCTCAGGATGCTGATGATCAACTGCAGCTGATGGCCACATCTCATGCTGCTCTGTCTGCTGTAGCATTCGGTTTCAGGACAGGTAGGTGCAGTTCTGTGCCCACTTGTTTTATTTACATGACTTTTTCATGTTTTAATGTAGAAGGCATTAAATGCTGTATAGACACAGATTCCCACTATCAGTAGTATTGTTTTAGCATGGTTTCCCCCTTTTTAGTACTGGTATCATTTTATTAATGATTTGTAGCGGTGTAGCCCATAGATGAGTTAGTTCAGCTCAAACCAGGACAGCAGGTTGGCCGGTTGTGCCACAGGGCACGCATGACTCCGTGCACAAACCTTCTGGTAGAGAAGTAGTGATACTGATGATGGAACTGCTCTGAGAGAAAACTATGTACTATGCAAGTGTTTGTTCTCTGACATGCATTTTAATGTCAGATGTGCAAATGAGCACGTTTTGTTTGCAGAGCTCAGTGCATACGACAAAGTGCACAAGCTGGCACCGTCAGTTCAACCCCAGAACCTCTTGTTTCAACTCAAGATCATATCAAGTTCTGCACCACATGGGCTAAATTTCCTTCTAAGACATAAAGCTATCCATACCTTATGTTAAAACATCCCCTCGATTGTGTACCTATTAGGAGTTGACAAACTGTGCACTGGGATCTTACTTTACCTGTGAAATCTAAGTCACTTGATACCTCCTGGGCAGTGAACCTGGCACTATACATTTACATTCACATGAATTTAGCATCTCAGCATGGGAAAAGACATTTCAAATAAGAGCTCTGTGGAACTAACAGTGGAGCGTTTGTTCCCTGGAGCCCAAATCACTGCAAATTTCTAGGAACACAGCTGAAATTTCATTCAGTGGGTTTGGGCTTTCATGTAAAAGAAACCTGACCTGAAAATTCAGGTTTTCCTATACCCACTTTCATTATCTATCAGATAAACCCGGGGAGATTTTTTGTGAAACCGTGCCACCATAGAATGCACATTTTTCAGCTGGGAGCTCAAGTGAAAGAGCAGTTTTCTGCTGGCATGCACTGGCATTAAACACTGACATTTAGAATTTTCCACTAAAGCGTATATTTAGTTACATTGGTCCATCAAATATTAATGACATTTGGCACGGCAAATGTAAAATCTGGCTGTAGAAGATACATGTCCTACAGTATTTGAGAGTTTAGTGGGTCAGCAGGAGAATGGCAGAAGTTACCCATTTAGGGTTCCTTGCCTGACGCTTCATTTCTCCGCAAGAGACAGGCATTGTATTTGCACTTCTTCCTCTGAAGCCCCAAATCCATCATTATTTCAGCGCAATCAAGGGTGTCTAATGATACCTTTCCGAAATCTTACGAATAGTACTGAGCTTTCACAACACCTTTACTTAGCATAGAAATGCAGTGGTTTCGGCACCTTCTGTATAGTTTGCTACTAATACACATTCTGGAACAGCAACACGAATGATCCAATTAAGAAACATCATGTGGAAGTCTTCAGCAAAAAGATTCAAGTGCCAAATTCAGCAACTGTCCCGGTAGACACAAATATTGGAAAAGATGAAGAAGCATTTCTCAGGACTGGGGGCAACGGACAAGGGGCAATGGATGCAAGCTGGAGCACAGGATGTTCCACTAAAAACATTAGAAAAAACTTTTTCACTGTGAGGGTGCCGGAGCCCTGGCACAGGCTGCCCAAAGAGGTTGTGGAGTCTCCTTCGCTGGAAACATCAAAACCTCTTTGGACGCGTTCCTGTGTGACCTACTCGAGGTGATCCTGCTCTGGCAGCGGGGCTGGACTAGATGATCTTTCAAGGTCGCTTTCAACCCTGAACATTCAGTGATTCTGTGATTCTGTGACTCTGTGATTCTGTGACTGTGCTACCTCCTGAAACTTAGATCACCATAGTTTTGTGAGCTTTCCAAGAGTCAGCTCCAGGAAAGCAGAGAGAGAGATTGCCAAACCCTTACTTATCCCCTTGCCCCTTGGGCAACTGGAAGAGTGGCAAAACTGGAAAGAAATGAAAATGAAAGGAAAAATGAAAGGAGAATGGAGATGCCTCTTTTCTGGATGTGTCTTGTCTGCAGGACGCTGCCGTGCCCATGTGAGCCAAAAGCAGCCTTTGACTTGTGATCTGACATTTGCAAAGATCAATCCTTGGATCACTCATTGTTACTCTTCAGAGTATTGGATGAAGAGAATTGGATGAAGATTTTACTGCAGATGTACCTCAGTGTATGCCACATAGCTCAGATCACTATGGAAATCACCAAATGCCTTTAAACTGTTGCTTCTAAATAAGGGAAGGAATATGTTGGAATTTTTATTGCTTGGAAAATGACAGTGGAGAGATGCACTACGTTGATCATAGAAGTTAGGCCTGGAACAGCTAAATCATAACACTCAGCCCAAAACACATGTACATCTGCCTATCTTTGGAATATAGGACGAAACTCTCTTCCTATTTTGAAGTCTTATTTGATGAATAATTAAAGAAAAGTCTGTTTCAGTTACAGGGGATAAGACCATGGCTTAGGTCCTACACTGCACGTGCCTGTGCACGATTTTCTTTTAGCACATTAAGTGAATGGGGCTATTTAGCTGCATAAAATAAAGCTTAGAAGAAGTTTTCAAATCAAGACCACACTACTGTTACTGCAAAAAAGTATATACAGTCATATATTGGAGACAGCACATTGGAGAGCGCGACTGATCCTCTCCAAACACAGCATCTGTCTAAAACTGCAAGGAAGCTTTGTTTATATCTCATGTCTAAATATAACTCCTGTCTGGTGCAGTTTCTCTCACTCTGTCTTTGCTAGTGTGTGACTAACTTTCTACAAGTAGGATTTACCTCGGTTTCTTTTCTAGTGTTCTTTAAATCATGGCTAATTAGAGGAGTTCAGACTCCCTCATGATATCACATTCTCCTGTAGAATGTGAAATTAGTCATTGTGGGTTGTTTTAATAAGTGCCAGGCCTGAACTTTAAGAAATCTTGGCATTAATATTGATATCAGCATGCATTATTCTGCACCTTCGTTAAGATATGTTAGAATTAGATTAATTAACTGCAAATATGCTGCATTGCTCAAAGCTCAATTTGTAAACCTTGCTTCCTAATCAGGATTGGTCCCAAAGCTTTATCTGGCATTTTAATGGTGCTGACTAACGTTGCTTTAATTAGCTGCCTCTGTAAAGTACCAGGCAAACCATCTGTATGAATCCTTTTAATTAACTGGATTCAGTCTGAACTTTTCTTCCTGGCATTCACAACACATCAGTGGAAGCAATATAAAACATATAGGGTAAAGATGTTATAACATAGGAAGTACCTGTGTTTCTATGCTTGGCATTTATTCTTTTATTGGCATTTATTGTTTAAGGGCTCAGTTTAGAAGTCGACAGGCCATGCTGACATTTGCCTTCAATTTTAGGGCAATCAAGGTAAGATCTTGAGTTAGCAATAGGGATGGCATGGATCTATCACCACCATTAGCACTAGGTAATGGCAGGAGGCTAAGACGTGCAACCTAGGCTTTACATGATTTCATTAGGATTTGAACTTAGCCTGTAAGCAGCTTCAAAGATTGAACCTGGCTGAAGAAATCTTTCAGGTTTTACAAATAGGCAACAGAATACAACTGTATCAAAACCAGATTAGCTTCAAACCAATTGTTTTATTTTTTTAAAGCAACTGAAGACTATGGTGGCTATGCTTGAATTCTTATATCCAAGCATTCCTCTCTGCCAAACATGGGATTCTGTCCAGCTTCTCTTGTCTACCTAGGCTGGTTTTCACCAGGTAGGCTCCCAAGGTAAATGCTGGCCTCGGTGAAGACAGTAGAAAGGTATCCTTCAGGATTCATCCTAGGTGCTTGCTTGAATGCTGCTTTTTAAGACTGTGATTCAGGGGGATGCTTGTGCTGGGAGAAACTGTTCATCTATACCAACGAGAATTGTATCAGTTCAGATCTATAGTACAGCCTGATGTCAACGTTCGCTGTGACCTAGAAGTGCACACAGCTTAGTTCACATGTTCCATGAACCACAGACCCTCTGACAGGGCGTGTGAAGAACCAGGAACCAGTATGGCAACAAGTTTGCCATGAAGGGATGCTAACTCAGTGGGAAGCGCAGCACTTTAGCTTTCCTGGGCGGCAGCTTGATCAAACAGAGTTAGATATTAATTTAATAAACCACAGACATTTTACAGAAATTGTCTGGTTCAGTGGAATCTACTCCAATGACAGATTTTTCATGGGGACCTGCCTGGGTTCTTGATAGTCTGCCCATGACTTGAGGTTGCCAAGGGTTGAGGGCAGCCATACTATGGACACAGACCAGGGCTTCCTGGCTTCTGGAGCTTTCCAGCCTCCTGGAAGAAACAGATACTGTGTCACATGGATCACAGTCAATTTTGGAAACACCATCTTTTAGCTTTTTCTGTTTACAGTTATTTCTTCCCAGATTGTTACTAAAGCTTGCTCCTTCGATGCTTTACCCTTACTTGGATACAGAGCGGAAGAGCATCAGTTATCTACAACTAATCCCTTGAATAGCTTCAACAAATTCTACAGGCAGTTCCTGGTGTCTGAAACAGTGGTAACTTCTGTAAAAGTATTTATGTGCAGAGACTGAAAAGCAGTAACTGGCTACAAACAAACTGGCCTTTTGGGAAGCGTTACTGTGGAGTGACTGGCTTGAGGAAGGGCTTTAGGATCCAGGCCTTGCTACAGTCAGTTAAGATTTTAACTTGGATCCTTGTGAATAAAGTCAGGAGGT